CACTTATACAGTAACTGTTGGGGCATCCCCACAATCATGTGATCAAAAAGTGGATGCTTGGCATGTATTTACAATGGTTGCAGTCATGTGATCACCTTTTGCAACCTTCTGACAAGCAAAATCCATGGGGAAGTCAGATTCACTTAACAACCATGTTACTAACTTAACAACTGCGGTGATGCATTTAACTGTGCAAGAAAGATTATAAAATGAGGCAAAACTTAACAATTGTCTTGCTTAGCAACAAAAATTTGGGGCTCAGTCCTTTGACTACCTGTACATTATTGGGGGAAAAAATAGGCAACAGTTTATTTTAAAATTACTTAAAAATAGGTGTGGGAGATCTGTTTCTATCAATTGGTCAGTAGTAAGGGGAGCCCATATGAGAGATCTAAACTTCAATTCCTTGACCACATTATCCCACTACAGATTAGGGTCTCCAAATTAATGTGAGGATTTTTATTGTACCATGTTCTTCCAATGTTCAGACGATTGAATAGAAATGGCATTTGTAGGGAGGAGTTCCAGAGTTTGACATTCCTTTTAAAAAATCAGATATAATAGAATAAGATGCTCTACAGGTAGTCCTCAATTTACAACAGTTTGTTTAGTGACCATTCGAAGTTACAATGGCACTGAAAAAAGTGCCATATGACCATTTTTCATGCAAAAACCATTGTGGCATCCCTATGGTCATGTGATCAAAATTCAGATGCTTGGCAACTGATTCATATTTATGACAGTTGCAGTGTCCTGGGGTCATGCGACCACCTTTTGTGGCCTTCTGACGAGCAAGGTCAATGGGAAAACTAGATTCACTTAACAACCATGTTACTAATTTAACAACTGCAGTGATTCACTTAACAAATGTGGCAAGAAAGGTTGTAAAATGGGGCTACATTCACTTAACAAATGTCTTGCTTAGCAACAGAAATTTTGGGCTCAATTGTGGTTGTAAATCGAGGATTACCTGAATTCCATCTCTTTTTGTGGGGGAAACTGGCAGGAAAAGGACATAACGCCTCAAACTGATATTCTGCCTTTTACAGTCACTATGAAAATGGTGAAGGCATGGGCAGCAAAGATACTAATTTTAAGGAAGGCAGACACACATGAAGGGAGGATATTATTTTTTTAGTTGTGAAGCATTCCCATATTATAACATTTCTCACTAGGGAGGTATGATTGAAGTGGAGAAGAAGGTAGTGAAGACACCAGGTAAGATCAGAGATAACTAGATAAGGCCTCCATGTCATAAGGAGTTGAAACAAGAAAAAAGATCGACCTTAAAAGGCAGCTAATAAAGATAGAGAAGAGGACTTGGAATCAGAAAACCAGGACTGAGTTCTCTAGGCAGCTAAGCAGCTCGGTTTGGATGATCTTTGGTCAACTCACTTCTTCATATCTTCCTTTCCTTTAATTTTAATGGTGGAAATAGTGGTGAACCAAAAGCAGATACTAATGGTAGCAATATATGCACCAAATAAAAAACAAGAAGAATTCTACCAAAAACTATATAAGATATTGGAAATGGAATATCAGAATATCTGCTTAGTAGGAGATTTTAATGCAATCGTAGATGCAAAATTAGACTATAGGAGCAGTAAGACAGGAAAAAAGGAAAGAAAGATACTTCCTAAGGCATTTTTTAAAATGATAGAAGAAATTTGTATATAGGATATGTGGTGAGAAATGAACCAAAAAAATAATAATCAATATATTTTATTCGAAGACATAAATCACGGCCCAGAATTGATATGGTATGGATGTCATCCGAACTAAGAACAAATTTATAGGAGATTGAAACTAATATTTGGGCTGGCCATAACCCAATAAAATTAAGCTGGAAAGGAGTAAAGAAAAAATTGAGATGGACATTGAATCAATCTATATTAAAAGAGAAAGAATTCATACAAACAATAGCAAAAGAAATGGATTTTTTAAAAAACAAAATAAGAAGAGACATCACTGCAAAACATATGGGATACAGCCAAAGCTTTCCTTGAAAGGTTGTCAGAAGACTAAAAAAAATATTCAGATGTGAGAAAAGAGACAAGGCATTACAATGAGTTACAGTTCATCCCTTAACAGAGAAGCTCAAAAAGATAGCGGTACCCCAAGAATGTATGAAGAAAATTCTCCAATTGGCCCTTGACAATACCTTGGATCAGTGGTGGGATTCAGCCAGTTCGCACCACTTCGGGAGAACCGGTTGTTAACTTTCTGAGCAGTTTGGCAAACTGGTTGTTGGTAGAAATCATTAGGGCAGAGAACCGGTTGTTAAATTACTTGAATCCCACCACTGCCTTGAATGGACATCTAGACAGGGATTAGATTCTTTATCTAGCCTAGGAAAGATTCTACTGACTGGGCTTAGCTAGAAATAATGCTATTGATAGCCAGACTGACAACTGATGTAACAAAAAGGATTATAAGATAACCCACCCCAAAAGTTCTTCTGGTCCTTTCACCGTTTACAAAGATGGTATCAATATGCTCATGACACTTCTAAAAGTGAACAAAGCACATTGATGTATTCCATTTCTATATACCCTGTTTCCCCCAAAATAAGACATCCCCTGATAATAAGCCTAATCGGGCTTTTGAGTGAATGGCAATAAGGCCTAGTGCTTATTTCAGGGTTCAAAAAATATAAGACAGGGTCTTATTTTCGGGGAAACACAGTACCAACAAAATTCAGTATCCCAAGGCAGACGAGCTTGCCAAATTAGATAACTGGAAAACTATCAAAAGTCTTCAGGGTGGGAATCTCTGAGTTATCTTGATAGACCAGGGGACAAACCTTTGGCCAGCAATATTAAAACATTTCTAAACTATGTGTATGTAGGTGCTAGTCCTCAAATTTCATCCTCAAATTTTCCTGCTGCCTAGCCTCCGCTTGAACACTTAATTGTGAAGCAAATCTTATCATGTCTATGGAGATTCTCAAGTCATCCAGGTCATGGTTGTCCCAAAGGTGATTTTTCAAGAGGCAATTGGACATAATTTTTTTCTCTTGAAGACATTTTGCTTCTCATCCAAGAAGCTTCTTCATTTCTTCTTCAGTTTAGAGTCTTATCACATCTCTGGATAATCAGTTTCACTGCCAAGCTGTTCTTGCCATAAGAAAGTTTTTGTAACATTTAATGAAAAATTGCCTTCCTGCAGTCTATATCCTTTATTTCATGTATTGTATTTTGGGAGTGATGGGAAACATATATTGCTTTGTTGTTTGGGTTGATAGGCAAGAAACAGGCTGCTCATACATTGGAGAATGATTTCCAAGTAGTCTCCTATGTAAATACTAACCAGATCCAATCATTTTCGTATCTTGACTCTTCCCATCCTGCTTACAATCTTTTTGGACTGTTGCCTTCTGGCAGAAGATTAGAACAATTAAAACTTGGACCACACATTTTCTGAACAGTTTTTATCCCAGAGCTATAATTGCACTCAACAATGAAGGGCCACCTTCAGTGAGCTGTTGGATAGCATTACTTGGTCTGTTGTGTGGATGTTTGGGTGGTTATGGGGTGGGGAATTTGTGGTGGGTGGAAGTATGTGTTGGACCTGGTCTTTGGGTGAATTTCATTGTATGGGTATACTGTGTATACACATACAATGACAATAAAATTATTATTATTATATACAAACTTGACAGTATACACAGCAAACAAGATAACCATGCTGGATTTCGTATCTCAAATCCCAAGCGTTTATGACTGAGTGATGTATCGGCAGATTATGCGAGTAGATCCCAGTAAAGTGGCTTTTTGCAGCTGACCAATGGTGATCTTGTCAGCTCCAATTGTTTTTAAATGCTTGCCTAGGTCTTTAGGCAGAGCACCCAGTGTGTCGAGTACCACTGGAACCACCTGCACTGGTTTATGCCAGAGTCTTTGCAATTCGATTCTCAAGTCCTGATATCTGGTGACTTTTTCAAGTTGTTTCTCGTCGATTCTACTGTCACCAGGTATGGCAATGTCGACGACCCACACTTTTTTCTTCTCCACAATCGTGATATCCGGGGTATTGTGTTCCAAAACTTTGTTAGTCTGTATTCGGAAGTGCCACAGTAGTTTTGCATGCTCGTTGTTCTTGTTGTTGTTGTTGTTGTTATTATTTACACAAAAAAGACAGTATACACAGCAAACGAGATAACCATGCTGGATTTCGTATCACAAATCACTAGTCGAACAACTCCCAAGCGTTTAGGACTGCATGATGTATCGGTGGATTATGCAAGCAGATCCCAGTAAGGTGGCCTTCTGCAGCTGATCAATAGTGATGATGATGATGACGATTATTATTATTATTATTATTATTATTATTATTATTATTATTATTATTATTATTATTATCTCACATCAGTCAAGGTTAGCAATGCCATCTAGCTGTTCCATCCAAAACCCACATAGAAGTTTAAACAATTATTATCTTTCAACAATATGATCATAGGTTGCTATTGCCATCTTCTGGAATTTTTCTGACTTCCTGCTACAACCATAAGGATTTTCGATTCTCCCATTCAAGTATTAACCTTGTCTGCTTCAATGTTTTTTTTCCCCAAGAACAGAAATAATTTCCTTTTCAATAACAAAACAAAAGCAGGGCTAAAACAAACTTTCTTTAAGAACAGACTTCCACACCACAAAATTAAAACATTATATTAGATTATCCGAGATGCCCATAAACACTGTACAACATCACAACTTTTGCTTGCTTATAAGCTTTTCCTTCATTTTATTCCTTGGACAATCCTAAAGAAGACTTGATTAAACCCTCGACGCAATCTTCGTTGCATATTTGTGAGAGAAATCTTTCTTCCCTCTGGAATCGATTCGATCAGAGTCCCAACTGAGCTCAGCAGAAAATCAAAGCCAGGATACGTCCACTGGATCACGAGGATCACGGGTTCCCCCCCCCCCCCAAATCGATTTTCCCTCCACTTGGGCGGCTTTCAACGTGTGCTGGGATTGGAAATCGCCTTGGCCTGACCAAGGCGCGGCGCTCTCCGTTAGGACAGCTACGCAAAGCAAAGAAAGCTCCGTCAAATAATAATAATAATAATAAAAACGCCTTGTAAAGCCTCCGCCCGTTCCCGCCACCGAAGAAAGAAAACCGGGGGCGGGGGGAACGGACTCGCGCAACGATATCGGCGCAAAAGGCGAGGCGCTGGGATTTTATTCCCATATTTCAGGCTCCCAGCACGAGGAGCCATCCCTGGGCGGAGAAGTCGGCACCGCCTCCTTCCTCTTTCTTCGGGCGAACATGGCTGCAGCCGCCGTCTGCTCGGCCGTGAAGGTAAGGCGCCTTTTGCCGCCGTTTTCTCCGCTTCGCGCTGCCTCGGCTTTCCCTGTTTGGGGAGGGGGGGACCTTCTCTTTCCCCCCCCACCTCAAGGGCTGTTTCCTTGGGGCTCCCGCGCCTCTGCACGAGGGAGAAGCTCCGGAGCCCGACTCCCCGCACCTTTTGGCCGGCCTAAGAATCAGTGCTTATCTCCGGCGGCGCGGGAGAAGGGAGGGGGAATTTTTTGCTGTAAAGCTTCCGCTCTCCCGGGCTCCAAACCGAGGAAGCCCGGCTGAACGCAGGAAGATTTACTGCAGAGCGAAGGCGCGCAGGTGTGAGCTGTGTAAAACGTTTGTTGCTGCTGCTGCGGGCTGGGAAAAAGGGGGAAGAGAGAGCGGGTCGATCCCGGGGAATGAGATCGTGGCAAGAGATCCGAAATTTTCGAAAAGGGTTTCTAAGCTTGCCCAAGTTGATCCCCCTACTACTTGTCTGTAACCCTTTTTTTTCGCTTTTTGCTCCGCTTGCGCTGGACTTTATTCGGTCTCTTTCCCCTGCCTCTTTTTGAGCCTTCTGCCGATCGGCCATTAGGCTGGATTTTCTCCCAATTTTCAGATGGAAAGCCAGGAGATAGATAGATCGTGAGGCGGGCTGCCTGCCTGCCTCCTTCAAGCACAATGCAAGGGGCAGAGATCTCCTGTTTTTTTTCCCTCCCAACCTCCTTAAGAGTCTAAAACTGGGGATCCACCCCAGCGTCGAACTGGGCTTTGGAGGCTCTTTGGAAACCTTGGAAAGCAATACAGGTAATTCTCGACTTAACAATAGTTCACTTAATAACCAAAGTTACAACTTTGACCTAGGTGATTTATGACCATTTTTCACACTTAAACGATTGGTGTGGTGGTCACAAGCTTGAAAACGGATTCATATTTATGACGGTTGCATTGTCACCCGAGTCATGGGATCCCCTTTTTGCGACCTTCTGACAAGCAAAGTCAATGGGGAAACCAGATTCGCTTAACGTGTTCCAACTGCAGTGATTCGCTTAACAAATGTGGCAAGAGAAGTCATGAAATGGGACCAAAGTCACTTAACAAATTTCTTGCTAGGCAACCTAAATTTTGGGGCTCGATTGTGGTTGTAAGTCGAGGACTACCTGTACAATAGAAACAAAGCCCTACCTGTGAGATTGATTTTTTTTTCCCTGTCATTCTGCTGATGCACAAAACAGAGCGGAATAAAAACAAAACGCTATACAGATACATAAAAACTTAACAAAAGCTAGCACCTAAAGCTGAACGTGCCTAAACCTGAGTGTGCTCAACTCTCAAGGATTTTATAGACATGGATGTATTATTTTCTTACGTACATACCCTCATGGAACTCAGTTGGCTGTTTTGACATATGTATATGTTTTAATTTTTCAGATTGGTTCTTCTTATATTTCCCTATCTATTAACCAGGTTCAACCCTCACTAGCTTTTCATGATCTCCAAGGTTGCTACCAGCAAAAATCCACTTTTCAATCAATTAGCTGGAAGGGACCTTGGAGGTCTTCTAGTCCATCCTCCTGTTCAAGCAGGAGACCCTATGCCATTTCAGACAAGTGACTGTCCAGTCTCTTCTTAAAAATCTTTAGTGATGAAGCACCGACAATTTCTGAAGGCAAGCTGTTCCCCTGGTTAACTGCCTTCACCATTAGGAAGTTTCTTCTTAGTTCTAGATTTCTTCTCTCCTTCACCAAGGAAACCGCATAGAGTCCCTTCCTGTTGTTCTTTTGTGGTCGGACAAAAATGTATTTAGTTAGGCAAGTTTGTGGTTTATAGTAGCGAAATCCACTAGCCTGTCTTTTGTTACAAGGAAGTCAAAAGACACTGTTTTAGAGAGCATTGTCCACCTTGTCAAACTGCAGCTTCCTCAGTTTGAGGTTGGATGGGAGAAGATAGATTGAAACAAATTTGTCAACCATGTTTTTATAAGACTATAACATGAAGTTGCCATGGACTACAATAGGCTCTCGTGGCTTATCTTTCTTTACAGGTAGTCCTTAACTTACGATCACAATTGAGCCCCAAATTTCCATTGCTAAGCAAAGCAGTTGTTAAGTGAACTTTGCTTCATTTTATGACCATTTTGCCACAGTTGTTAATTGAATCATTGGAGTTGTTAAGTGAATCACACAGTTGTTAAGCAAATCTGGGTTCCCCCATTGATCTTACTTGTTGAAAGCCAGCTGGGAAAGTTAACAAATGGTGATCATATGACCCCCAGGACTATGGAACTGTCATAAATAGATGCCAGTTGCCAAGTGCCCAAAATTTGATCATTTGACCATGGGGATGCTGCAGTGGTTGTAAAGGGGAAAAATTGTTATCAGTCACATTTTTCAGTAGGTCACTAAACAAATGCTTGTAAGTGGAGGACTACCTGGGATCAAAATGCAGAGTGTTTTATATGGTATTATCTATTATCTGGAGCGATTAAATTAGTGATGTTAGAAAATATTTTTGTGAGTAAGACTCCATAATAAAGTTGCTTGTATCTGGTTCACCCTTAGATAACAGAAAAACAATTACTTTGCCAAGCTCATGTCATACAGTAGAGTAGATGAACTTCTGTATGGGAATTTTGAATCAGAGTTTACATAATTCTCATCCCCTCTGCCTATTGCTTTGTGGATTTCTTGTTCAATCAGCACATTAACTATCAAATTCCCATGATGTGATAAGATGTCACACAGAATCCATGGCAAATATCAAAAAACCTTGTCTTCCGTGCTAATGAAAGCAAAATTCTAATTATATATAATGTCATAAAAACTGTGTAGTTAAACATATAGAACAGGATATTTTAAGAACGTCTGTAGGATCAATATCAATAGGGCTTTGCTTTTTTTAAAATAAAAATCTGTGTATCATGATCAATGGCTTCTTTACTATTTTGATTTTCAAACAATGTTTTAAGGAATTGCCATTCTTAGACTTCTGCACAGGGACCAGAAAAAAGTAGCATATCCTCTCTTAAAATTGGTTTATTTACTGCTCTTTTATTTTGCCTTATTACATGCAGTAGCAGAAGGTATGTTCTAAGTAAATTTACAAGTAGAAATTAGGTGCTGTAGGAGTATTGTACTTCCCTGGAGAAGCATGGCTGCTGGAGAATCCCAGTAATATGCAGAGTCAATAATGAGACAATGTGATAGAGGATAATTTCCATACCAGATGAGTAGACGGTCTTTGGTTTGGAAGTTGGAGGCATGTGGCCAGTGATTTGATTTTGGGGTGTTGCAGGCATGTCTGTCAACCCTACCTACCTCACAAGGTTGTGGTTGTGGGGAAAATAGAATAGAAGGAAGGTATGTTGGCTATAAAGGCACGCGGTGGCTCAGTGGCTAAGACTCTGAGCTTGTCGATCGAAAGGTCTGCAGTTTGAATCCCTAGTGCCGCGTAACAGGGTGAGCTCCTGTTTCTTATCCCAGCTTCTGCCAACCTAGCAGTTTGAAAGCATGTAAAAAATGCAAGAGGAAAAATAGGGACCACCTTTGGTGGGAAGGTAACAGCGTTCCGTGCGCCTTTGGCATTTAGTCATGCCGGCCACATGACCACGGAGACGTCTATGGACAGTGCTGGCTCTTCGGCTTTGAAACAGAGATGAGCACCGTCCCCTAGAGTGGGGAACGACTAACACATATATGCAAAGGGAACCTTTACCTTTACTATGTTAGCTATGTTTGCCACCTTGAAATATTTGTAAAAAATAATAAAGGTAGGATGGCCTAGATTTTTAAAAGCTTTATTTTAAATTGAGTTTTTAGCTTTCGTGAGCTTGCTTTCTTCATATTTATTATACTCTCATTGTATTCCTTTTTCACTGTTTATTTTATTCTCTTCTTTTACTCTGTTCTGTCTATACGTCTTTCATTTTCTTCCTTTATTATTGTAAGCCACTGAGAGTAGCACCATAGTGACATAGGCAGCAAACAAATGTAAGAAAAAAATAGTTTTGAGACATTAACTAGCCAAAAGAGCTACAGTAATTGAGCTACAAGTGAAGTGCTGTGAACTGGGGTTGCCCATTCTAGCTCATGTAATAGAAAGATTCAGAAGCTACTTCTCTAATGTTACATATGAGCTTTCTCTAGCCTTGATGCTTCTGGGATGTGTGGATGTTTGTGAACTGAAGTCTACATACCTAGCATGTGTCTGGTTTAGGGAAGACTGCATTAGAGACTTCTAGAAGTCTTGCAGTTTTTAGAGTAGAGAGTTTCCTGTTCATTAGATAAAAACTTTTACCAGCATTGCTAACTGTATGAGTTGATTGGGCAATCTAGAACAGAGATAAGGGGGCAGGTCTGTTCCTCTCAATGTTGTTGTTGAATTTGGTCTTCTGGGCTTGTTGTGGCCCGCCAGATTTGGACAGTGAGGAGATTGGGGAGGAACAAGGGCCAGTCCTGGCGTCTGGGGAAGGCTCTGATGAGGGCTCTGCGTCGGATGCAGAGAGGGGGCCAGGGCCAGATGCCAGTTATCAGCTGCCTTCAGAGTCAGACATCAGTGAGGCAGACGAACAACTGGAGCCTGTTCCCAGTCTGCGCATGCGCAGAGTTGCCAGACAAAGGGAACAGCTAAAGAACAAGGGTCGTCTTGGGAGTAAGGCCACAGGTGGACGATGAACGGCCCCTCCCAGAGGGAATAAAAGAGGAGCAAAAGGGGAGTGGAGTTTGCAGGAGACAATTAGTTCGCCTAATTAGTTTGTGACTCTCAGAGACTCTTTGCCAAGTTTTTGAAGATATCGGCCTGGCAGATAAGATCTGTGACTGTAAATTCTCCCTTGAAAGACTTTGCTGAAGGTGAATGAGAGGAAATCATTGTTTGTTTAATAAAAGGGGTTTTGTCAGGACCAGGATTCTGCTTCATGCTTTTTGGGGAAGCCTAAATCAGAACAGGGCTTCTGACCGCTTACAAAGGAAGTGAGGTTTGCTACTGTGTCTGTTTTGACATGAATGCCCTGTAGAAACTCTTGATGGCCATCTGCTTCTAATACTTTTTCCATCTGTCCTGCATTGTGATTAAGGGAGTTGCCTAAGGCTAAAAGAGATGTGTTAGCCAGCCTTATCAAAATAAATAAAGCCATAAAGAAATTGTGATGTTAGCGGTACGTTCATGAATAATTTATCCTTTTATCTTGTCTTCTAATCTATATTTATTCTCTGGAAGATTGGAATTATCGGAGGGACAGGTCTGGATGATCCTGAGATATTAGAAGGTCGAACAGAGAAATACATTGATACACCATACGGAAAGGTGTGTATAGGTAACTAAGCCATCTTTGTTTTGTGTGTATATAGTGTGTTAGGGAAAACACCTGAAATAGAGCTATATTTCCAAGAATTCCTCATAGGTTTCTATGAAAAAACACCCAGTACCTTTGCAACTTGATTGGATTTTTAACCTAGCGTGATTAACACGTGCAAGGGTTGAATGAAGAAAGATAAGAAAGTCCTCATAAAAACTTTATAGTTCTCTGAATTATCTCTACCCTGTGTTCTTTGGGTGCTCAAATTATTTCTAATCTCCTGGCAAATGGCTCTGATTCCATAGCAGCTGGCTATGGATCCACGAATTCAGTCTTCTCCTTATGTACATATGAAAGGCTTGTACATATTGGGTATTTTAGTGGGACAGATGTATTCACAAAGTGTGACTTCATATAGGTTTCAGATTTATTAGATTTGCTGTCCTCTTCATTACTCCTCATAGAATATTTCTCATAGAATCAGAGCTGATCACCATCCTGCTGCTTAATGATGATGCAAAATTGTCTTTCTGGGATGTTCTGTACTTCGAATTAGTCCCATAGCATTCACTACGAAACCCAAGCAGTCAGGTCCCAGAATAACTATTACTGATTGGTGGCCTGCTGCTATTGATCCTGTAATTCAGCGGTCTCCAGCCTTTCCAGCTTGGCAGAGGCGGGGGGGGATAGGGGACGATTTCATGTGCATGCACATGCCACTTCTACAAATGCAACTTTGTGCATGCACGCATGTTTGCCCACCACGTCTATGCCCCTGTTCCAAATGGGCTGCTGCCTGGCACCAGGACATGGACCGAAGGAGTTGGGGACCCCTGCTGTAATTGTAATATTCTGAAGAATGTACAACATGACTTTGCAATTGTTTTTTGTACATCACATTTTGGCTAGCAGCAAAGTCTGTCAAATCTATTGAGATGTATTTCTACGTGTGATTTACTGCGTAGGATTGTAGTGCATAATGAATTTCCACTTTGATCCTGCATGAGTGGCAAATCAGATTTTTTAAAAAGTCGTTGGTGGGATTTTATGATGCTTCTGTAGTATATGTTTGTATATGTGTTGTTTTTAATTCCAGCCATCAGATGCACTGATTTCAGGAAAGATAAAAAATGTTGACTGTGTGCTTCTATCCAGGTATGTGGAATTCCTTTAAAACAGGTGAATTAGAGTTGCATTAGAATGAAAATGTGATGTGCCATTTATTGTAATCAGGCCAAACTTTCAAGCTTGCTAACAATGCAGATTGGATTAACAGCTGTTTGACAGGCAACTAAGGAGCGCTGCAAGAATTTCCTTTTGCCATCATCTCTTCTTGCTTCCTAGAGGCTCACCAATCAGGTAGCTGATAGAAGGCACAGTAAGGATGGTAGGAAGTTGCAACGTTCACAAGAAATTACATAATCACCAACAATTGCCCATCTCGAGGTTGAGGATTATATCAATTACTCATGAAATTCCTCCAAATATAGGATTACATACTTTATTGAACTAGGGACGCAATGGTTCCATGGTTAAAGACACTGAGCTTATCAGCTGGAAAGCTGGCAATCCAAGACTTGAGCGCCACGTGAAAGGTGAGCTCCCATTCTTTGCTCTAGCTATGGCCAACTTAGCAGTTTGAAAAGATGCAAGTAGATAAATAGGTACCACTTTGGTGGGAAGGTAACAGTGTTTCATGCCTCTCCGCATATAATCATGCTGGCCTCATGACCATGGAAATTGTCTTCGGATAAAGTGGTTCCCTTGGTTAAGAGATCAGTAAAAGGTAAAGTAAACGTTCCATTCACACATATGTGCTAGTCGTTCCCGACTCTAGGGGGCGATGCTCATCTCCGTCTCAAAGCCGAAGAGCCAGTGCTGTCCGAAGATGTCTCCATGGTCATGTGGCCAGCATGACTATAAATGCCCAAGGCCATGGAACGCTGTTACCTTTCCATTAAAGTTGGTCCCTATTTTTCTACTTGCATTTTTTATGTGCTTTCGAACTGCTAGGTTGGCAGAAGCTGGGACAAGTAACGGGAGCTCACCCCGTTACGCAGCACTAGGGATTTGAACCGCTGAACTGCCGACCTTTCGATTGACAAGCTCACAGTCTTAGCCACTGAACCACCGCATCCCTTCCACCAACAAATTAAGAGATGAGTACCACCCCCTAAAGTCGGACAACTGGACAGGGGAAACCTTTGCTTTACTTTATTGAATGGATTAAGTTTCTTATGTTTTTTTCATTTTCTTATGAGCTTCCTTGCCAAATGAACTATGATTTGGGGATAGAGAAACCAAGGACTCCCAAAAAAAAAAAGTCCCTTATGGGTATAAGCATGATAAAGGCTCTTAGTCCAAACACATTTTTTTAAAAAAAAAATCTAAAATATGAACCAAGAACCTCACCACCTGCAGCTGAGGTTTGCTCATCCAGTCTACGAGGTGAGTAATATAGATAATCTGACGATTCTGAATTGACCACTCTAGAAGCTTTTCCCTGCTACCTTGCTTACTCAAGGCTGCTTTTTCCCCCCTGTGCTTCAAATTGTAGCTGTAGCATCAAGCACTTAATAAGATAGTTCAGGGATTCTGACAAGGGGCCACCATGTTTAGATCACAGTTTGATTTCTTCTCACCCTGGTCTTGGTGTCCAGTATTCTCCTCAACTCACATTTGCATAAGGTTGGGATAAATTATCCGTGGCTCCAATGAAACTCAAAGCCCCTAAGAAAAGTGCACTGGGGAATAATTTCAATAAATGATCTGTCGTATTGGGAACAAGGATACAGCTTCAATGCAGTTGCAATGAAATGAAATGTAATTCTTCTATTCCACCTCACTTTCTGAATGTGCCTATTGTCCTGTCGCTCATAAAGGCCAGGTATGGATCTTCAAGCTGAAAAAGCTTGAGCATCTTTAGCTGAAATGGGTCAGAGCGAATCACGATTTGCTGTATGGCTTCCTGATTGCAATGCAGATTTCTTTCCCCCAAGTTTTATTTGTTTTATTTATATAACATTCAATTTTCATCAAACAGTGTGTGTTCTGGGTACAATTATGTTCATCATCATCATATTAATAATATAACAATTGCCGATTTAACTGCCCAAGTAGCTTGTCCATTTATTGTTCTCCATTTTTATATTATGTTTTTAGGTTTAACCAGATTTCTTCTCTCTTTTCTTTCCCTAGGCATGGGAGGCATCATTCTATCATGCCAACAAATATCAATTTCCGTGCCAATATGTGGGCACTAAAAGAAGAAGGTTGCACTCATCTATTAGTGACTACTGCCTGTGGTTCATTACGAGAAGAGATTCAGCCTGGAGATCTTGTTATAATTGACCAGTTCATAGATCGGTAAGGTGGGGAGAAGGGAAATCTGGTTCTGTATAGAGTTAGAACTAACAGAAATAGAATCAAGTCAAATTTGGCAAGAGATTCTGCTACTTTGACGCAATTCCAAAAATCCACTTCTGTCAAATCCATTAAGCTCTATTTTTAATCAGTAATGGCAAGCACATTGTTTTATTCCAATAGGAGAGCCAACCTCTCATGCAGAAGTACGTACAGGAAGAGGAGGAGAGATCTCGGGGGATTAAGAAACTGCCTTACATTACTCCATATCACCATATCATGATGCCTCGCCCCTGAAAAACAATCCATCCATCATGCTGCCTGCTTTATTGAAAGACTTCTGTCCTTCGGCAGTGTTGGAAAAAAGATCACACTGTCTTCCCATTTGTCTTTTTCTCCTTCTTAGAGAACAAAATGTCTTGGATCAGTCTATTCTGGTGAGATTTCCCCAGCTCTTCTGCCAAGTTTGCAGAAAAGGAAAGTACAATAAGGATGGGGAAGCAGGAGATATCTGTGGCTAGGAAGAGAGAGTAGCTGGACAACAGAGAGAATGGAAGGTTTAAAAGCATCAAGATGTTTTGAATGTAATTTTAAAGTACTGGTAATTGGGAAATCGACACGTTTCCCTCTTTTTGTGAGCAGAGAGATGTATAAGATATTTTTCTGACCTCACTGACTCTTTAATTTACTGTTGTTCATAGATGTAATTTATAAAAAGCTGACTCTTCTTAATTTACTATTTTTCATAGATGTAATTTATAAAAAAAATATGAATTATTATTAAGCCAATTGCAAGGAAAATGTGTTATATGGCTCTTTAGGTTTATCCATTTAGCTTTTAATATTTGTGATGCCCAGGAAGGAAAGGTTTCTGCATTTTATTTTTGAGACAGCCTAGTTTTCTCAGCTAGGTTAGACCAGCATTCAAGTCACAATACAGACTGTGTATTTTGATCTGGTGGTTTAAAGCACATAGATACCAGCTCTTGATCTCTTTTTTTTCCCTCCCTTCTGTACAAAAGGAATTACTGTTAGGAGGAGAAAGAAGGAGGGGGGGGGGAACTAAATGAAAAGTGCAATTGAATTGTCAAATTTCATTTATTATTCTGTAGAAACAATTACGGTATTTATTAAAGAAGCAGGAATGGATCTTGAATGTTTTTATAAAGTGAGCCGTTCTGTTATAAAAGTCCACTTCCACAGTCAATGCCTGTGGAAGTTCCTCGGTACCTGATTTTTTCCGCCATTGCCCACAGACCAAGTTCATGATTCCTGCAGTTCACATGCCCAAACCCACCCATGTGAGGCCCAGCCCAAGAATGGCATAGTCATAGAACAATCCAGCCAAACATCAGGTCTTTATTTTCTTACATCATATAGACAGAATCTTGCCAGACTAAACATATAGTGATGGATTGTGTCTATGAAGGGAGAGGTGATGTGATGGACTACAGTGAAGTGGTTGGTTCCCAAGAAGGAGGGGACACGTGGGGGGGAGCGAGACCAGACACAACACAGGCTGGATTTGGATTGAAGAAAGAGGAAGAGATTTAGGACAACCACTCCCTAGACTCTCTCCAAAGGATATACCCCGGGAAAGTCTAGGGAGTGGCTGTCATAAATCTCTTTCTTCAGTCCAACTCTAGCCTATCTTGTCTCTGGTCTCCCCCCCCCCCACCCTCCTTCTTGAGAACCTACTGTTTCACTGTACTCCATCACAACACCTTCCCCTTCATAGATCAATCCATCACCATCTGTCATGTTTTCTGCATCCTCTGTTCAGTGGTGGGTTGGTCCCGGTTTGCACCGGTTTGCAGAAACCGGTAGTAAAAATTTCTAGTAGTTTGGAGAACCGGTAATAACATTGGCTGGCGACGCCCCCGAACTGGTCCCCGGCCTGGTCGCCGCTTGCTTACCCCACCCACCTCATCAGAGGCTCTTTTTTTGGGTTACTTTTAAAAGCATTTTTTTCTGCAACCTCTTCGGCCGAAGAGGCTGTAGGGGAAAAAAATGCCTTTAAAAGCCTCTGGCGATCCCAGCTGAGTTGCCTGATCGTCAGAGGCTTCTAAAAGCATTTTTTTCTGCAACCTCTTAAGGTTGTAGAAAAAATGCTTTTAAAAGGAAAAAAAATTGGCCACGCCCACCCAGTCACATTACCCCCACCACCAAGCCACGCCCACAAAATAAGCCATGCCCACAGAACCGGTAGTGAAAAATTTTAGAACCCACCCCTGCCTCTGTTATGAAAGTCACTGAGTCAACTGGCATCTTCTACCCCCAAAACAATCCTATCTCCTTATCCTACTAATATAGATAGTCCTCGACTTATGGCAATGGAGCCCAGAATTTTTGTTGCTATGCAAGTTATTGAGTGAGTGAGTTGAGGTCCACTTTATAGCCGTTTGCCACAGTTGTTAAGCGAATCACTGTAGTTGTTAAATGAATCTGGCTCCCCCCCCCCCGACTTTGAATGTCAACTTGGCTGAGATTTGGGTTGGAAGAAATGGATTGAATAAATTTCCCAGGTATTAAAATACAGGTAATCCTCAACTTACAACAGTTTATTTAGTGACCATTTGAAGTTACAGAGGTACTGAAAAAAGTGACTTATATTGTTTTTCACACTTATGACCATTGCAGCATCTCCGTGTTCATGTGATTAAAATTTAGATGCTTGGCAACTGACTCACATTTATAACCGTTGCAGTGTCCCGGGGGTCATGTGATCACCTTTTGCGACGTTCTGACAAAGTTAACGGGAAGGACAGATTCACTTAAAAAATGTGTTACTAAATTAACAATTGCAGTGATTCACTCAACAACTGTGGCAAGAAAGGTCGTAAAATGAGGCCAAGCTCACTTAACTGTCTCACTTAGCAACAGAAATTTTGGGCTCAGTTGTGGTCGGATGTCGAAGGCTACCTATAGCTGGCAGAACTGTTTATAATGGCTGGACTTCATAATATCCATTTTTAAAATCCTGTTTCTAAAAGTTAACATTTGTGATAGGTTTTTTTTTTTCAATTGTTGCTGCAAAGGCTACATTTTGAAGTGAAGTTGATGGATTCTAGTTTAAAAGTACACATATTTTCACTCCCCCCAATCATGGTGTCATTGCTGCAGCTGCACATTGTGCCCCCTCCCTGATATCCACCCCATGTTAAAACTGCAATTCCCAGAATCCTAGTCAGCATGGCAATTGCCAGAAAATTTTGGGAGTTCTAATCCCATTGGAGTAGTCTTATCATTCTATTGCAAGCCTGCATATTTCTTGTATGCCTAATAGTTGCTCAGAACTTTGCAGCAAAGCTGTTGAAATGTGTTTCATACTCATTTAGCAGAGTCATTTGTCAAGATGCCATATCTTATTGGCAGGAGTGGCGTATGTTCCTGTTTATTCCCTACATACTGCATTATGAGCGGCCACCTGATCCTTTCCAGATGTTTGCATTTAACAACTCTTCCTGTTCTTTGCCTTTGGTAGTGCTGACAGGGTTGGGGAGAGTTGAAGTTCTGAAATCTTGGCAGGAGTGCATTGAGGCTATTTTTAGCTATAATCTCTTTTTTTTCCCCCAGTCCATTTGCTGTGTATGTTCACAAATGTTTTCAGCTGAATTTTACTGACCAAATAACATTCTTTGTGCATGTTTAGGGCGCAACATGGGCTTTATGTTTTTCTTGCCAGTTCTGGTTTACAAATTGAGAAGCATTTCGTTTCTGTCTTTTTTTTTTTTTTTTACTTCTGGTCTTATAATCAGATAAGATTATGGTCTCATTTCTGTTTAAGGCCTCTTTCTAAATGTCTGTCATATTTTTCCCCTAGAACAAACTTAATTCTGTTACCGTGGTTGCCCAGTATAATTAAGGGAGGAAGAAGAGCTGTTATTACAAGCTTCCCAATTGGAAGGATTAATTTGCATTTGCTTCGCATTAATTTGTCTATGACAATATTATTTCTTCTAACCTTAAGGAGACAGGTAGACCTTGACTTACAACAGTTCGTTTAGTGATTGTTTGAAGTGACAAAAAGTGACTTATGACCATTTTTCACACTTACGACCATTGTAGCATCCTCATGGTCACATAATCAAAATTCAGACGCTTGGCAACTGACTTGTATTTATGATGGTTGCAGTGTCCCAGAATCCCCTTTTGTGACCTTCTAAAAAGCAAAGTCAATGGGGAAGCCACAAGATCCTAAACTCTTAACATTATTATGTGATTTATATCATCATACATTAGCTATACCGTGTTTCTCTGAAAACACGACCCACCCCAATAATAAGCCCAACCCTAATTTTCAGGGGGTGAGCCTAATATTACACCTACCCCAAAAATAAGCCCGAGGGATGGGCGTGGCCAGTACGAGTGGCGGAGTGGGGATGGGCAACTGTCCAGCTGCAGCTGCAGCCTGCTGGCCCCTTAGGGCAGCGCAAATACTACTTTTGCCCTTCTGTTTCTGGGCGCAGAGCTTCTGCTTGTTGGGCAGCTTCCCCAAAGCTGGCAGCTCTTGCTTTTTCCCTGTTTTGGGGAGCCTCACAGGAGATTTTTTAGCGAATGGGAGGAGAGTGGGGAGAGAGATTTTGCTGCCTGTCATCCATTCCTCAAGCTCAGCACAGACTAAGGGAAGGATGACAGGCAGCAAAATCCCCCTCCCCATTTTCCTCCCGTTCACCAAAAAGCCTCCATTCCAAACGCTGAAAGTTCGGAATGGAGGGGATGGTGTGTTCTCAATGCATCCAGCTCACCGAGTCTGGCCTGCTGCATCTCAAAAAAAGTAAGACCAAGGACATGTGCAGAAGCTAAAAGATATTGGACTAAAATCCACACATGGTTGGGAAAAAATGACAAAGAAACACATTGACTTTAAACCAGAGATATTTTTATTAGGGATTTTACCAGAGACATATAATAGAGAATTGAGATACTTAATTGTTAATGTTTTAACAGTGGCTAGAATTGTATTTACTAAAAATTGGAAAGGAGAGAAGCTATCTACTGATGATGAAGTCATTAAGAAAATTTTGGAATGTGTTTAAATGAGTAAATTGACATTTGAAATTAGAGAACAGGAAGATAAACAATATTACTTGATATGGGATTTATTCTATCAATGGCTAGATCATTTCCATATTTCATGGAAATGAAATATGAAATATGAAATAAATGTAATATTAAAATATATGAAGCGTTTTTTTACAGGAGATAAGCCATTGTTAAATAATTGGTAAATGAGAATAATAATACAAAGGGATATAATAAATTGTTAAATAAGAGAATTTTGGATATGGGATTAAGCATGAAAGATATGTAGCTGATTGATACACTTTTTGTAATTGTAATGGATGATGGTTGTTTTATGTTTTGTTTAAAAATAAAAAACTTTTTTCAAAAAAAAAAAAGTAAAACCACCTCGAAAATAAGCCCAAGTGCTTATTTTCAAGTCTAAAAGCAAATAAGACTCGGGCTTATTTTCTGAGAAACGCGGGTATTATATATTTTATATGCCGCCAAAGACAATTTCTGTTCAATCAAGGCAAGCCAAAAAGATGGACACTCATGATTTACGTTGTCTTCTCTGATTAGTATTTTTTTTTTCCTTTGCAGGACAACAAAAAGGCATCTCACTTTCTATGACGGGACTAATTCCTGCCTCCCAGGAGTGTGCCATGTTTCTATGGCGGAACCTTTCTGTGCCAAAACAAGAGAAGTTAGTAGATCTTATATTATGGACATTAGTCCAGGTAGTCCTCAACTTACAACCATTTGTTTAGTAACCGTTCAAACCATTCAAAGTTACAACAGCATGAGTGACCTGTGACTGTTTTTCGTACTTTACGACAGCTGCACACAATCAAAATTCAGATGCTTGATAACTGACTCACATTTATGACTCTCGCAGTGTCCCGGGGTCATGTAATCTCCTTTTGCAACCTTCTGACAAGCAAAATCAATGGGGAAGCCAGATTCACCGTACAACTGTGTTACTAACTTAACAGCTGCAGAGATTCATTTAACAACTGTGGCAAGAAAGGTTGTAAAATGGGGCAAATTCACTTAGCTGTCCAGTTTAGCAACAAAAATGTGGCACTCAATTATGGTCGTACGTTGAGGGCTACCTGTATAGGATTCAATCTGTAATTGAGCAATGAATACCATTCCCATTTTCCTACCATTCTCCTACTAACATGCAGCTAGATGGATACTAGGTAACACATATACTTTCCCTTCTTTGTTTTATATAATCATGCTAGATGAATTATCTTGCATATGATTGAAAATTGCACTAAAGCTGGTTCTCCCTTTAACTGTCAAAATCTGTCAAAAATTATAGCAGTGAGATAGTTGGGCAGTCTGTAATCTCTAGGTCAGTGTTTCTCAATCTTTTACACCTGTAAGAAGTGTGAACTTCAACTCCTAGAATTCCCTCGCTAACATTCTGATTGCAGAATTCTGGGAATTGAAATCCACACATCTTAATGGTGGAGAAATATTGCAATAAGTAATGTAAGGTCGTCCAAACCTCCTTTATGACTATAGTTCTCCCTGTCCCTTCCCCACTTGCCTACCCTGATTTGTTTGTTTGTTTGTTTGGGAAATTTATATTGCCGCCTACTTGCTCAAGGCGGCTGACAGGAAATAAAAACACAATATAAAACAATAATAATAATAAAATAATGATCCCCACCCTGGCATCAACACACACTCATACCAGCCATTTAACCACGGTGAGCCACGGTGGCGCAGTGGTTAGAATGCAGTACTGCAGGCTACTTCTGCTGACTGCCGGCTGACTGCAATTTGGCAGTTCAAATCTCACCAGGCTCAAGGTTGACTCAGCCTTCCATCCTTCCGAGGTGGGTAAAATGAGGACCCAAATTGTTGGGGGCAATATGCTGATTCTGTAAACTGCTTAGAGAGGGCTGTAAAGCACTGTAAAGTGGTATATAAATCTAAGTGCTATTGCTATTAACAGGCTCCATCCCGCTCTGGGTTCCCCAGCGCTTTGTTAGGGTTGAAAAACAGCTTCTAAAGCACAGCTGATCGTCAGAGGGAGCAGCAATGAGAAAAGCACGCCATTAGGGCTGAAAAAAAGCTTCGAAAAAGCTACATTCGGAGTATAAGATGCACCCAAATTTTCGGCCTCTTTTGGGGGGGGGAGTGTGTCTTATACTCCAAAAAATACAGTACTTGAACCAGGAAAAAATTGAGATAATAGAGATGACCTTGATATTCCTCATGAGATATTAGTTAATATTTGGAGGGGGCTCAAATGACACACACACACACACACATGCACACCCCCAAAGGATAGCGTAGTGGTAACCTTTTATCTCCCTTGATTTCAGGTTCTCCTAGATGTAGCCAAAAAGCTTGGAATCAAGTGTCACTCAAAGGGGACAGTAATTACAGTCGAGGGACCACGTTTTAGTTCTCGGGCTGAAAGCTTGATGTTTCGCAGCTGGGGAGCTGATGTTATCAATATGACGACAGTCCCAGAAGTCATTCTGGCAAAGGAGGCGGGAATCTGCTATGCGAGTATCGCCATGGCAACAGATTACGACTGCTGGAAAGAACATGAGGAAACGGTGAGTGAAAGTTGCTGTTTTCCTTGGGGATATGTGCTTCGCGTAGACACAAAAATTGGAACAATGCTACTTGCCAAATAGCTTGGCTGAGCTATTCATTTTCTGCATATCATTTTTTATATGAGTCCCTCTCAAAAATATAAAAAAAAAAGATGGAAAAATTACAAATGCTGACAATCTCTTCAGGGCTCAGTTTCTTCCTCACATGTCAACCTCCAGCTTCCCGGGTGGGGAGAAGAAATGAGTGCATATGACATACTTGTAAATATATACACATATATGCATGTGCTGTACATGTGTGGTCATGTATGTGTGCCGGCTACAAACCACACAGCCAGAAAAGAGCAGGGACAGATGCAGAAATTAATGAAATTGAAAACTACCAAGTAAATTGAATCACGTCATTTATTCCTACCTGCATATACCAAGAACTCCATTTCCCCATCCAGTCAGGGTCTGGATAGGGAAAAACATACTCAGACTCAAGTCAATCCAACCCAAACAAGATAGATCGGCTGACTGATTGCAAGATTGTTCCATATTTGACTGGGTATCGCACAACTTCACCTGGTGTGTCAGTTTTGTCCTTTTACCTGTTATAAGATGCATTGAAGATAGTCACTCATTCTTTTGGATTACACTACTTTCCTCTACGGGGTGGGGAGGGGGCTGATTCCCAAACACAGGGATATACATGCTTAGTGTGGTTAGTTGCAGAATTGCCATGTTATGTGCCTGCTGCACAAACTCTGCTTGTTAGTAGTAAGTTTCCAAGTACAATTTGAGGTGTTGTTTTATATCTGTAAAGCCCAAATTGTTTGAGGTCTGGGTGGCTTAGGACTGCTTTTCCTCAGTAGCTTCTGCCCATTCTACTGAGAAGTTAAATAGTGCTTCATAAGGGGTCTATCTACTGGAAGGTACAGCTCTCTCCCTCTCTCTCTCTCTTTCTCTCCCTCCATCCCTCCCTCCTTCTCTCTCCGTGTGTATGTGTGTGTGTGTGTGGTGTGTGTGTATATACATACACACACACATATACATACATACAGGTAATCCTCAATGTCTGACCACAATTGAGCCCACAATTTTTGTTGTTAAGTGAAACATTTGTTAAGTTTGCCCCATTTTACGATCTTTCTTACCACAATTGTTAAGTGAATCTGGCTTCCCCATTGACCTTGCTTGTTAGAAGGTCGCTTAAGGAGAGCACATGACCCTGGGACATGGCAACCATCATAAATGTGAATCAGTTCTAAGCATATGAGCTTTGTTTATGTTTATGTTTATTTGATTTATATACCGCCCTACTCCTGAAGGACTCAGGGTGGTGAACAGCCACAAGATAAAAACACATAAATACAAAATTTAAAAACAGAATAAAACCGAATTAAACAATTTGGCCAAAGACAGATTTAAAACACCCCAATAAATTAAAAACGAATTAAAATTTGCGTTTTAAAAAGGAAAAAAAGGGAAAAATTAGGCCAGGCCAGCTTTGATCATGTGACCATGAGAATGCTGCCACAGTGTGAAAAACGGTCATAACTAATTTTTTTTCAGTGCTGGGGTAACTGGTCACTAAATGAACAGTTGTAAGTTGAGGACTACCTGTGTATGTGTGTGTGTGAATTTTTTAATACAGTAAAAGTATACAAAACAAAGATAATAAGGAAGAAAGGGAATGAGAAGAGAACAAATACCGTCTTTCTCCAAAAAGATGACTCATCTTGAAAAGAAGCCGTATCATGTTTTTGAGAGCATGCCACAAAATTAACCCTAATTAAGACTCCCACCCCCACCCCGGGGCGCAGGGGGTGGGGCGAGGCACACAAGTAAAAAATAAGCTAGGGCGGGGATGGGGGGGTGGAGCTGCCCTATTTACCAGGCCTCGTACACCCCGACACCTGCCTCGCCTTCTGCAGCCACTTGCTGCCACTCACACGCATCATTTCGCCTTTAGATGCCTGCCAGAAGGCATCTGCAGCCGATAAAGCTCTGTAATCAGGTGCAGTGGGCCAGTAGCAGGCTTCTGCTGGGCAGGGCTATCAGTGCCATTGCCGTGAGGTCAGTCAATAATTAGAACCCTCCAAAAAGAAGGCCTAGCCATTTTTTCGGGGGTCAAAAGAAAATAAAACCCGTCCTTCTTTTTGAGAAACACGGTAGTTATGCCTTCCACTCTTTTTTTTATAAGTCATTACTGTCTTACTGTTCTCCTCATCCTCATTGGCCCTTTTTAATTCTCAGACTATCAATTCAGTCTTTTCTTCCTTCAGCAAAAAGACAATAAAAGATTTTGCTGTTTTTTCCTGTGGCCAAATTGATTGGCTTCACCATTTCTGTATGTTCAGTTAATTTTACAATTCAGTCTTTGCATACAATACACTTGCTGCCTGGACTGGAGGCCTTCTCAATAGCAGCTCCCTTGCTGTGGAACAGCTTGTCATCTGAAGCCTGTGTGGCTCCATCCTCATGTTCTTTTACAAGTAGATGAAAACATGGTTGTTCCAGAAGGCCTTCGAAATTATTCTTATTTACCGTATGACTTCTTATAGTCTGACTTTGTGTTCTGCTTTTAGTAATCTGCTATTTATTTAACACATTTATAGTGTGTGTGTTGTGTTGTGTTGTGTATAGTTCATACATTTCTGGATGCTGCCTAGAATCCAGTTGGTTTCAGCCAGTCAGATAAATTTCATAAATAATACACTGGTTGCTCTAGTACATTTAAATAAACAAGCACATACAGAAAAACATGGTCAAAATGAGATGGGAAAAAATGGAAGTGTTAATTGCACCAAGGAAGAAAGGAACAAACCTGGAGGGAAATGAGATGAGAGAATAACAGAATAGGCAAGAGAGTATGAGGTCTTTATTAAATAAGGGATTATTAAATAGCATACAAATCCCCCAGGGGAACAGCACCTCCTAGGAGCAGTTAATTTTGAGGTTAATTTTTAAAGGCAATTTTCCAGCAGTAGCACTATCACCATCCATTAGCATCACATGTTCAGTTCTTTGGTTTCAACAGCTTCTGTTTTTATCCAAAGCTTTACTGTTAGGGGAACAGAAATGAAAAATCAATGGAAATGGAACTACAAACAGACTAAGAGTATTCCAAACTCTAAAACTTTGTGTCACTCTCAGCTCTCTCAAACAGTTGTGGATAATTATAGGCAATCAGTCTCTTTCACAGCTGAAATTAAACTTGGAGGAGGGTATGAAAATGCTGAATTGCAACTAGTAAAACAGTTTAATTTTATCTCCTCAGTACTCAGCACCAGGAAATTGGAGTACACTGTTTTGGCCATGTCCACAGTTAATACCATAATATGATGATCACCGCCTGTATTTTCTACATTTTGTTTTCCTGTGATCCTCTTGTGGGTGCATGTATCTGCAGATCGCTGATGTGTATTTTTTTCTTTAAAAAATCTTCTCATGTAAATCTGTCAGCCTTTTAAGAGTTCACATGGGTGAGGATGGGGTCCTTACCATACTAATATTTTTGTTAACACAGCTACTTATTTTGAAATAATTTCACTGGTAAAGTGACATGGGCAAGTTATTGTCAATCCCATATTTGTAATATAATGATAACATGGACAATTTTGTAGGGTTGTTAGTAGAATTAGTAAAGAGCCTTGGTAGTACAGGGGTTTAAGGCACCCTGTTATTAAGCTGGTTATTAAGACCAGCTGCCTGCAATTACTGCAGGGTTCGAATCTCGCCAAGGCTCAAGGTTGACTCAGCCTTCCATCCTTTCTAAGGTAGGTGAAATGAGGACCCAGTTTGTGGGGGCAATAAGCTGACTTTGTATAAAATATACAAAAGGATGAAGGCTATTGCTGAGCACATTGTAAGCCGCCCTGAGTCTTCGGAGAAGGGCGGCATATAAATCAAATTAAAAAAAAAAAAAAGAGCTTAAATCTGCTAACATTGTAAGTGTATATTTGTTGAATTCCATTTGAGAAATCTATAATTGAAAAATTGTAATTACAGCACTCTCTAAGTGGTTTACAATATCAGCATATTGCCCCCAACAATCTGAGTCCTCATTTTACCAACCTCGGAAGGATGGAAGGCTGAGTCAACCTTGAGCTGGTCAGGATCAAACTCCTGGCAGTGAGCAGTGAGTTAGCCTGCTAGTCAGCATTCTAGCTACTGCATCACTAGAGCTCTATGGTGTATGTGGCGTTCCTTCCTATTTTATCCCCATCACAATGGCCCTTTGAGGTAGGCTGGGCTCAGAGAGAGTGACTGGCACAAAGTCTCCTAGAAAGTTTTTGTGTTTGAGGATACATTTGAAGCCTGACTTTACCTGGTCCATGCTAACCACTATATGGTGCTGACTACCTTTTAATGGTTACTGATATAGGTGTTTGTGCACATAACTACATTTTACGTTGCCTTAATCCTATTTAGTTTTTTTTTTCTTTTTACTGTGGCTATTGACTTTTTAAGATAAAATTCTATCAAATGTGTTTGATATATTAGGCAGGTTTTGTTTTTCCTTTAGAAGGAGCTTGCTGGGGATATTCATAATAAAGTTACTTGTTATTGTGATAAAGATCATTTGTCTGCATCTATCGGAAAACTTTTCTGAATTGCTTTGGTTGAAATTATACTAGAGCATACCTAATATTTGACATAATTGTCCTGCATCACTACACTCTATATTTTGTTTATTGGGATTTACTCTCATGTAAATGGGAATAAGATCAAATACTGAGTGTGTCTGTTAGTGCAAACCACAGAGAAAGAGGGTGGGGGGGGAGAGAGAGATTGAGATTAGTTGGCTTGTTTAATTTCGATTTCTGTGGTAACCCATTCATACAAGGCTACATACATACATACATACATATATACATACGAATGAATGAAGAGAGCCTAATGATTGTCTTGTTCTTGTAGGTCTCAGTGGACAGAGTTCTAAAGACATTGAAGGAGAACGCAAATAAAGCAACTAGTTTGCTACTCACTGCCATACCTCAGGTTGGATCCATGGAATGGTCAGAAACCCATCAGAACCTGAAAGTAATTTGATGTTTCTATTTAATTTATTATTTACATATGTGTGTTTTTTAAAAAAGTTTGCAGGATACTTTCAACAAGGAAAGCCCCAGCCCCACTCACCTCCAGTGTAAGTAGAATTTACATTGAAAAGCTCAAATGCAATCAAAACTAACTATGGATGGTACAGTACAGGCAGTACAAAATCACAATGGAGCCCAACATTTTTGTTGCTAAGCGAGGCAGCTGTTCAGTGCATTTTGCCCCATTTTATGAACTTTCTTGCCACAGTTGTTAAATGAATCATAGCAGATGTTAGTAACACAGTTAATCTTGCTTGTCTATTGACTTTGCTTGTCAGAAGGCCACAAAAGGTGATCACATGACCCCAAGACAATGCAACCATCATAAATATGAACCAGTTGCCAAGTATCCAAATTTAGATCACATGACTAAAGGGATGTTGCAGTGGTCATAAGTGTGAAAAATGGTCATAGGTCACTTGTTTCAGTACCGTAACTTCAAACAGTCACTAAATGAATGGTTGTAAGTCATGAATTACCTGTAATACTAAAATATTGCAGTGGAGTAACATAAGTAACATTGATAAAATCTAGAAAATCTAACATTTAGAACATGCTATGAGAGTTACAGTTACATAGTTAAAATTCAGAACAGCCCAATTAAATCTTCTTTAAGAGCAGAACATCATTCAGGCCACCCTAAAACTTGAGCTGAGGCCTGGCAAATCCCAGATGGTTGGATCTGGTTGTCCAAGAAATATTCTCTCTTACACTCACAAGATTAACTTTTAAAACTGAGCCATGAGCAGGGGTTGAATTATTAATTTGTAGATAGATAGGTAGGGTATTTTTTTTTTAACAAACTGAACTTTTAAGTTGAGTAGAACTCATCAACTCACCCATCAACACTTCACTTACTTCCATTATCAATAAGAAGCCACCCTAACATATTCAGATGACCTGAACTCCAACTTTTAAATAAAAGATATGTTGTGTGATCCAAACATCCACTCCGACCAATTCTTGGAATTCTGGTTTTTGCATTTGCCAAACAGTTTGAAATATATTGATGTTCTAGCTCTCCAGAAAATGTTTTAAAGATCCTGAACATTTTACAGCAAATATTGATATCCATGCTTACATGCATGCTTACACTCATATGTTTACATCATAATTAAGAACTTTTGTTTAAACACTGAAACAGAACGCTGAAGAATTTCAGAGCAGAAATAGTAAGTGGGTAAGTAAATATGGATTCCAGAAGCATACAAATAGGCACCAGATCTCTACTGTAGGCCCAAGTAGGACATTCCATTAACTAGATTGGGGGTCTCCAAATGTGGCAATTGTGCACTTCAACTCCCAGAATTGCTCAACCAGCCATGCTGGCTGGGCAGTTCTGGGAGTTGAAGTCCACAAGTCTTAAAGTTGCCAAGTTTGGAGGCCCTTGAAGTACATGCTCTCTAGAACAAAGCTCTCCAACTTTTCTGGCTTTGCGGACCAGCAGTGGGAGGAGAAGGGATGAAGAAACAGGCACATGTACCTGCTGCTCACGTAAGGGGGATGCATGCGTGCACTCTTCCATGCATGCCTGCCTCTTCCGCAGCCCAGTTCTGATCGGATCACAGCCCAGTAATGGGCTGCAGCCGAGGGTTTGAGGACCCCTGTTCTAGAAGGTGATATCTAAAAAAAGTTTGATAACTCCTGTGATGGCACTTGCAGCATTTGAAGGAATCACCTGGAGAATTTGGCTCATGGCAAAGACTATAAAAACTGGGGTCAATCCAATGATGGAATTCAATTTTTTTTACTACCGGTTCTGTGGGCATGGCTTGGTGGGCGTGGCAGGGGAAGGATACTGCAAAATCTCCATTCCCTCCCCACTCCTGGGGGAAGGATATTGCAAAATCTCCATTCCCACCCCACTCTGGGGCCAGCCAGAGGTGGTATTTGCAGGTTTTCCGAACAGCTCAAAATTTCTGCTACCGGTTCTCCAGAACCTGCTGAATAGCATCCCTGGATCAATCCATATCTTATATGGTGAATCCATAATAAAATTGGTGAGATGACTTCTGAATCATCTATGCCCTTCTTTGGACAGTTATCCTTCAACCTGGCTTTATTTGCAGCAAATGTCCAAACAACCAACTATATTTAAATACAAGAGTAAAGTTGTGTAATTCTTAAACTGTGAATTCTCTTTAGCCCAGAAACAAGGGAACTATGGCTATTACATGTTGCTAAAGTTTTAATCCCAGGTCATTAACCAATGATAAGACATGCCAAGATGTACTTCAGCAACACTTGGGAAATCACAAATTTCCTTTCTGTATTCTAGGAAAGAGAGAGTGGCAAGTGTGATTAATATTTATCTCCTCCCCCTGGGTAAGAAGAAATGTTGCAGATTTCAAACACAAAATATGGTAGTTTGTAGGGAGAAAACACACTTTAGTTGACCTTACAGGTAGTCCTCAATTTATGACCATAATTGAGCCTAAAATTTCTTTCTTTTAAAAAAAACACCATTTTTTATAATTATAGAATAAAATATAAAAATAGTATAGTAAGCAAAAGCAAATAGTAAGACACAGTGGGGGGAAGGGGAAAGAAAAGTGAGGGGAGGAAGAAAAGAAAAGTGTTGACTTCCAACTCTCTCTGTTGCAGTAGAACAAAGCATTAACATCGAACCTCAACTTTTTACTTTTCTATAATAATATAAACCAGCCATTTCTATAATAACAAATCAATCTAATCAGTAAAACCCAAAATCAAAGTTTCATTTTTTCCCTCACCTCAAGCACAAAGTCCAGAAGCGGTTTCCCTGTAGCAACAAAAGTACTTATATACTTTTCTTTGATCAAAACGGTCAATTTAGCCATCTCTGCCAACTCCATCAACTTTTGTAGTCATTCATCCATGGTGGGAGTCAAATTCCATTTTTGTGCATACAATAGTCTTGCTGCCGTCAACATATATAAGACCAAAAATTTATGTTGCTGAACACCTACAGTAGTGGCCAAAATTGTGGAAACCTTTTGGGAAAATATATTTTTGAGGTTTGATGGCTAATAACACTACTTTTTTTTGGGGGGGGGGAAGTTTCAAGATAATCATATTCCACTGCTGGAATGGCCTGGGAATAGCCCAGACCTTAACCCAATTGAAAATCTATGGAGCCGACTAAAGAAACTTGTTAGTCAGAAGCGACCCAGCAATAAATCCAGTTAATAGAAGCAATCATTCAATCTTGGTTTTACATTATAACAGCTGCAGAACTAAAAGACTTGGTTCACTCCATGGGAAGACGACGTAAGGCCGTAATTCATGCTAAAGGTTGCCCAACGAAGTATTAACTGACATAATTTTTGTATATCTCATTTTTTTCTATGTGTTTCACTTTTCTTCTTTATACTGTAACTGCTATTTTAATAGCAAATCCTTCATAAAAGTTATTGCATTACATTCCTGATTAAATTATCTTTCCATTGATATATAATTTTATGGTACTACCCCAAAAAAAGAGTGATGTTATTAGCTAGTTTTAGAAAATACACTTTTCCCAAAAGGTTTCCACAATTTTGGCCACTACTGTAACTTCAATCGGTCACTAAATGAATTGTTGTAAGTCAAAGTCTACCTATATTGGTTTCTGACTCATATGTATATAAAGCAGGATTCAAGCAACAAAGCCTTCAGTTTCTGGGTTGAAGTGAATTAAGGCTCCTAATTGGCACCCCATAACTTTTGTGCATACTCTGGATGTTATCTTTTACCATAAATCTGTTGCTATTTTGTACTGCTTTTATTTAGTTAGATCATAACTTTGTATACTACAGTAATTACAAACCTTAAAGAATTGTTTTTAATGCAGCATTTCCCCCCCTTGTTCTGATTCTTATATTTCAGAATACTGTGCAGTTATCCGTTATGCTACCAAAACATTGAAAACCTATCAAGCTACAGTACTTGAAGATCAGAAGATAGACGTCTTTACTTGTAAAGAATGCCTTTAATGGATGCAACATTTTTCATTCCCATCTGCTAATATGCTTCTTTTGGAATAAGATCTTGCAAAGGCTGAAGAACAGAACATTCACAGCAGATTTGAAAAGTAATTAATTCTTAAAACTGACATTTCAGACTGTGAACACAATAGCTGATACTTAATAATCATGTTCCACTGATGTGAAAGAGGTTAAAAAAAAAAGAGGGTTATTAGCTCTAGTTCAAATATTCAATCATAACTCAATTCAAAAATGGCAAATCCATAACAAGGTATGTTTATATGCCCTTGCTCACCTCCCAAATGACCACCCCCCAGAGTGGTTATAGTGGTGGATTGCCATTCAGTAGCATTTTTATAATGCAAAGAAATGGTTTTGAATGAGGATTAAATGCATTTTTATTATGCTTTTTAATAGAAAATTACTGACTTTTAAAAAATAAGAGCAATTACAGGTTGCACTTTTTTGTTGTTAAAAGATTTCCTGGCTAAGATTTTCCAAAGTGACATGATAACGGTTTTTATGTATTTAGCCTATTGTTAAGAAAATATTTGATTTTATTATGAATGTCAAATCCGTTTTCTTTTGTGTTTTCAATTCAATATGCTGGAATTCATGAATTGCTGGATTTATTTTCTTTTTATACGTTTTTTTTTTTTAAAGAGTTGTGTGGCGGATGGGTAGACTTGGTTGATTTATTATTTTTCAAATTGAATGGCTTTGAGGGGGGTTTTGGGACAGCAGAAAAAGCAGGATGCGTGGTTTTTGTGTGGTAAAGAATAAAGACATTTTGAGACCACAAAGGACTCAATCATGTATCCCCTCAGTTGCTAATAGTGAGTGTTGAGCAACTCCATTTCCGTTAGATGTTTTCTGGTGCCCTTATGGCTGTGGTAGTTCCTCCAAACCAAGGCCACAATGTCACTTCAGAAAAAAATCCTCTCAGTTTTACAACCACTTTTTATTGAAAACTCCAATGCACCATTTACTTCTAGCAAAAGCAGCAGAGTAATGGAGTCTAGGTTGGTGATGTTTCTGAGTGTTTGAAGGCATCACAAACCTGTTTGAACGGGCTGTGTTTGAACGACTATATAGTACGGCCTCGGAAACAATTCTCTGTACCAAGTCACTCGGGACTTGTTTTTTCCTAAATATTGTGAAGAGTGAAGAACAACTACGATGTCTCTGAACAATATATTCACATTGTTTGGAATGCTGCTGCTGAATGTTTACAATACACACTGTACTGTTGAATCCTTGCAAATTATGCCTTAGTTACGTATGTTAAATACCCCCTTTTCTGTTCAAAAAAATGATGCAATGCTGCTTTTCTCAAATAAAACTCAATGTAACCTCTTCTGTGTCTTACTGATTTGAAACTAGGCGTGCCTACCCCTAGGTATTTAGGTTGCTCTGAATGAACAGAAAAATGATCAGGTTTTTTTTTTTAAAAAAAGAAAAATTGGATTCTTGAATTGTAGTAATATCCTTTCTTCCCATAGATGTCCCCATCAAACAGTTTGCGAGATGTTTCTTAGCCTTCCAATCTGTGGAAAGGGAAGCATGACATTTTAAGACTTAAATAACAATAGCACTTAGACATATATACTGCTTCATAGCACATATCTTTAGCATCCCTGACTAAACATTCCAGAAACTTCTCATTTCCTACACCCCAAGAAGCACAGTAGCAATTGATAAAGGAGAATATTTGTAGTTCAGGGTTGAAACGACTTCCAGTTTCACAACTTCTGAATGCAATACCATTCCATTGGTTAATTGTCCTCACTGTTAGGAAGTTTCTCCTAACCAGGATGCTTCTCTCCTTGAGTAGTTTCCATTCATTGTTTCTTGTCTTACCTTCTGGTGATTTTGGTGGATACCCAAGAAGAGGTAGTTTCCAATTGGGAGATAGCAAGCTGAAGTTGGACAAAGTATCCCCTTTATTACCATATTTCTACCATAGTTTAGGAACTGTCCTAATGATGGCAAACCTATGGCACGCGTGCCACAGGTGGCATGCAGCACCCACTTTGTGGGCTCACGAATCATTGCCCCAGTCCAGCTTTGCTGTGCATGCATGTGCACCTCCTACTACCCAGCTGGTCGTCGGGTCTCTGCCACGCATGCGCAGAGGTGGGAGCGTGCTGGGGCCCCCGTGGGGGCCTGCACACGCATTATGTTTCGGGGATCTGGCGCTTGCACTTTGGCATTCGGTCCGGAAAAGGTTAGCTATCACTGAACCATCCTATGCAGATTGTTGGGGTTTCATCAACAATAATTAGCATGGTAGGTTGGCCTGAGTGACTGATGAGAACATGCCCAACAGGTGGGTTATTACCAAAGCTGAGGTTATATTTAAAGATACTAACCACAAATTCATTTCCCACTCCGCCCTCAAAATCTCTGTGCTACACAATCCTACACAACACATCCTGTCCAGATCATTTTAGAAATTAATTTAACAGCCATGAACACCAAAAGATAGTTGGATCTTTTTCTAGTCTTTCATCTAGCAAAGTGAAATAGTTAAGAGGGGAACATTTTTTTAGAATAGGATAGAGTAGAGAGTAGAATAAGAATAGAATAGAATAGAATAGAATAGAATAGAATAGAATAGAATAGAATATTCTTTATTGGCCAAGTGTGATTGGACACACAAAGAATTTGTCTTGGTGCATACGCTCTTGGAGTACATGAAAGAAAAGATACATTCGCCAAGAATCTTAAGGTATAACACTTAATGATAGTCATAGGGAAACAGTCAATATAAATCTTAAGGATACTAGCAACAAGGTTACAGTCATACAGTCATAAGTGGGAGGAGATGGGTGATAGGAACGATGAGAAGATTTATAGTAATGCAGACTTAGTAACTAGTTTGACAATGTTGAGGGAATTATTTGTTTAGCAGAGTGATGGCGCTCGGGAAAAAACTTCTTGTGTCAGGTTGTTATGGTATGCAGTGCTCTATAGCGTCGTTTTGAGGGTAGGAGTTGAAACAGTTTGTGTCCAGGATGCGAGGGGTTTGTAAATATTTTCACAGCCCTCTTTTTGACTCGTGCAGTATACAGGTCCTCAATGGAAGGCAGGTTGGTAGTAATTGTTTTTTTTCTACAGTTCTAATTATCCTCTGAAGTCTGTGTCTGTCTTGTTGGGTTGCAGAACCAAACCAGACAGTTATAGAGGTGCAGATGACAGACTGGTGGATTCACTGTGTAAGGCCAGGATTCTTAAAAATTTGTTGGTGTAGTCAATAACGCCTAATAAAGACCTTTTCACTTAGGATTTTAAAAAGTTTTCCACTGGTGTATTTTAATAATCTCCACTTCCTCTACTGTCTGACACTTTGTATATAACCTCAGTATTTTTATTCTGATGAAGGATGGGAATTAAAGCTTGCAGTCAAGAAAAAAATCATCATCCACAAAGCTGGATCTGGTTTTATTACTGAAATACTCAGGGGGATGTGCATAGTTATCCCATAATGACCTCATGGAATGTTAGCCCAAATGTTCCATTTGGTTAATTATAAGTACTCATTAAGACTAATGAGCAGGGACCTGGCCAGGACAGATTACAGTCTTGGGTCACCAGCCCATTTGTTTTTCAAGACCTTACTTGTTGCATCAGAAGAATGAACTGTGGGGCAGAAAGCTCATGGAGCCTTCAGATCTAAATTCCAGGATTTTCCTAAAGCAGAAATGGCATTATTGATGAAGTGGATTCCACAGCCAAAGGATAAGTGGAAGATCCCATACTTAGGGACCAGATGATGTAATAAGGCTTTAACCACTGCCATGACATCAGTCTTCCATGTAGGAAAGGCTTCCATTCCTTTAGGAAGCACACTCACGCAAACATATTTGTAGCCTCTTGATGATGGCAACTGCATAAAATCCAATTATAGGCCCCCAAAGGGTCAAAAAGGATAGCCCAACCCATGTGGAGGAAGTGCCACTGCCTATATTATTCGTTAGGCATAGAGTACAAATAGTAGTCACGGCCAAAATGGCCTGATTTAATCTCAGTGTAAACCAAAGGACTGAATTTGATGCTTCATAGCTTAACGCAGTAGGTGTTACTCATGCCAAAAGAGACAGCCATCTACAAACACCCACAGGCCTGAGTATCTACCCAACAGTCAAATGTCTTTTCTTCCTTTTCCATTAGTCCTGGGGTCAGCAACCCATGGCTCTGGAGCCACATGTGGCTCTTTCATCTCTCTGCTGCGGCTCCCTGTTGCCGATCGGTGCCACAATTGATAGGGCTTTCAATTAGGATAGGTAGAGGAATTATTATTAAAAATATTATTATAAAATTAAATGCCACAGGACATAATATTAATTTTAATAACACAAAAACAGTTGCAAAAATAGAACATCTCAATGGCAGAATAATCAGAGAGGCCACTGAAATAGAGAAAAGACCATATTGTATGAATAAACGTGATGACACTTCCTGTCTGCCTACTATTTGGAAACCTGCTCTCATAGACAGACGAATCTTAACACAAAATATAAACCATAGATCAAAGATTCATCCTAATGCCTGTGTTGCCACCATTTCCAGCATAACTTATCCATTAACCCACAACCAAGCAACAACGCTTCCACCCAATCAAAATACAGCTACGTCATCAGCCAATCAGAATACAACAACACTGTCGACCAATCAGAATACACCTTTGCCTCTTTTCATAGAAAAACGTCAGTTACGATCACACAGTTTGCCCATAAACACCAAACCGACAACTTCAGCCAGAAGATGACGAATGCGATTTCGTCGAAACATCACTACTACCCTTTTAAGGATATGTTTACAATTACACGGGAAGAAACCCGAGATATTAACTGTACACACATATATACCCGTGAAAATTTACACACACACACACACATATATATATATATGTATAAAATATATGTTTTTCCTCTAGCCAGGTTTTTCCTACGTAACCAAGGTTTTTTCTGCAGCCCTAGCTCAGTAGAATCACATCCACTTGATATATATATGAATGACACACACTGTTTCAACATGACATTTTTAGATGAAACAATCGCAAGGCTGAAACAATATTGCTGAATTAATCAGAAATCTTAACCTGGAAGGGATCTCTGCACTGATTTTCTTTGCCACTTGGGGTCACCATTCTCTTGATGATATATCTGTTTTTTAAACTATGACACACAAGTACATGTTTAAAAAAAGCTTTTAACAAAAAATAACATTCTTGGGTCAAATCATTTACAAACGCCAATGGTTTTTTTCCTTCTTATGTGGGGCAGGGGGTGTTAAATTAAACAGCTTTTCTGTAAACTCCAGAGCTCATGCCCATTAGAAGGGTTGGCTCTGGGTTTTCCCTAAAGTATTGTTTTTGTTGCTCTTTGATGATGGAACGTTCCTCAATGTACTGAAGCTTGTGAATCCCCTGTTGACATCATCCTTAGAAGTAGTGCAGAGATTTTATGTGCCCTGTAAAAGTTAACTATTTTTAGCCTCGTGGAAGATGAGAGTCATGCAGATGGAAATAAATATATAAATAAACTTTTCTTGCTGATGAATAGGAAGGACCACCACTTACTGATCATGTATTGATTATTACATAGATGTGATTTATCTCAAAAGGAAGGAATGGATGAGACCGAAACAGGAGATGCAGTCCCCTACAATTGTGGTCCTCGACTTATGACCACTATTGATCCCCAAATTTCTGTTGCTAAGTGAGACATTTGTTAAGTGCCCAGTTTTGTGATCATTCTTGCCACACTTTTCAAGTGAATCACTGCAGTCATTAAGTTAGTAACACCGTTGTTAAGTGAGCCTGGCTTCCCCATTGACTTTGCTTGTCGGAAGGTCGCAAAAGGGGATCGCATGATCCCAGGGCGCTGTGACCGTCATAAGTATGAGTCAGTTATCAAGTGTCTGAATTTTGATCATGTAACTAATGGTTGTGGGTGTGAAAAATGGTCATAGGTCAAATTTTTCAGTGCCGTTGTAACTTTGAATGGTCACTAAATGAACAGATGTAAATCAAGGTCTACCTGCATGTCATTTGAGATTCTAGAGAGCACAAAGATGTTTATGGAGCAGTTTGTGGATGACTTTATTTAAATATATTTTGTCCGTGATTACTAATCTTGGACAATGAATCACTCTATTGGACCCAGGGCAAAGGGGTGCAAATTATAAAACACACATATAGCCAGTTTGGTCTAGTGGTTAAGGCACCATGCTAGAAAATGGGAGACCGTGAGTTCAATTCCCACCTTAGCTGTGAAAGTTAGTTAGGTAAATTTAGTCCAATCACTCACCCTCTCTGCCCAACTCACAGGGCTGTTGCTGTGGGGAAAACA